GACGCGGATACTTTACTCGATGAACTTACGCGTACTTCTCATTGTTAGTGGTTGGTCACCACATTGTATAAACCATAACAATACGCCCATAACAATAATAACAATAATAAATATAAGGTTACTATAGTAATGGGGTAGTGAGATAGTGAATAGAGAGCGAGCGAGAGAGAAAGAGAGAAAGGAAAAGAAAGGCTACGCGAGTGCTTTATTGACTTGTACATACAAAATGATTACTACTTGCGCAATTATAGATGGTTATGGAATTGACCATACTACATATTATTGTTATCGCGATGGCACTAGTAATACCACCCATGGCTGTACTATTTAGAGTAGGTTTCCGGGAAGATGTACTTATCAATATCGTGTTTAGTATTCTTGGCTTTATTCCAGGTAAGAAGTAAAAGAGAGAGAAATAGAGGTGTGGACGGCATTGCTAACATCAATGAGTAACAGGTGTGGTACACGCCCTTTATATCGTATTAAAACATCCAAGATAGTGCTGCTACTGCTACTGCTACTACTGCTACCGTCTAGTATATCATTACATCTTCACTAGTGCGTAGACGACTATGCCAGTAGAGCCATTCAGTATCCATCTACCAGAAGCAAGAAACAAACTGGTTATTGATCATTGCTACTAGATGAAAAAGCAAAAAGATGACTATAGTTTTATACATGTTATTGATATTGATCTCTATTTATCGTGTCACCTCTACTACGACGTAATCTACCATCGCGAATGACAATGACGGATGTGATATCGTTGCACTACTCTGGTTCTCCGACTACCTTATCCATTTCGTTTATTCCACGCTCTACCTCTACACTCATGTACACTACACCCACCACTCAGCGTACTGCCTCGGCATCTCGCACTCCTCAAACGCCATTAGGTACGGCTGGCACACAGCTATCCCAGCTATTAACGCCAACGGTCAGTGGTGGCAACATTCCCATCACGGCCAGCGCTAGTGGTGGTGGCAATGGTGGTGGCGGTAGTAGTGGCACCTTACCCTATCTCGGTCGACGCCATAGTATTTATGGCACGGAAGATCGTGTCGTTCTCGATATTGGCTCGTTGTATTTACGATGCGGCTACAGTGGTGAATCTCAGCCACGTCATCTTATTCCGATATTCGGTGATTTGGATTGTCATCGCGAACACAGCTGTAACGAAAGCTGTCGTCTTACCAGTCAAGTGAGTATTGCCATCGTGTTACGTTATACTGCTAGATATACTCATCGTGGAAACATATATAGTTTTCTGAATTATTTTCACCAGATATTTATACCAACGATCTTGATCGACTTGAAGATACGCTACGCTACTATCTAAATAATGTTTATTATCGGTAAGTGCAAGTGTTACCGCTTTCTAGTATAAAGCATGGACAATATCAATGATGCTAATGCTACTCAACTAGTTACTTATTGACGGAGCCTCGTCAGCGTAAAGTGCTCATTTGTGAGCCACCGCTCATGCCAATCAAGATAAAGGAAATGCTTGCTAGAATACTATTTGAACACTTTCTCGTACCTTCTATTTCATTTGTGCCATCCGGTCTACTTGCTATTATGACGGCCGGTGTCACCACAGGACTCGTTATAGATAGTGGTCATTGGGAAACAACCGTGGTACCAGTAAGTAGATCAGTTAGTATATTGCTGCTGTTAACCATACATTGCTATTAGGTATTTGATGCACGACCACTTATTCCATTTGTACAAACTACACCTTTAGCAGGACGTGCATTATCAGCGCGACTTCGTATTCTACTATTGAATCATGCACAAATCCTATTGCCTTCAGGAGATACACAACCGTTGACGACAGAGATGCTTGATGCAGAGACACTAGAGGATATCAAGACGCGCCTCTGTTTATATCGCCATTCAAGCCTATTAGCCGGATGCCGGTCCCACACCTAGTCTCGAGGGAGATGACTTGAAGGATGGTATCGAGATGTAAGCGCAGCCACCGATGCGGTCTATCGAATTCAACGTGCCGACAACCAGCAAACAAGTCGCCTACTCGTACCGGGATGGGTTCGTGAACGTGCAGCTGAAGTACTCTTTGATGGCGATGAGGATGAACCTAATATCGTATGCTGCTTGCTAGAGTGTCTATTAAAGGTACGTGCACCCTAATTAACCTATAGGTATGATTCATTAACAAACATTGATGTCATTATACGTTATTTGCCAATTTATTAGGTTCAACCTGATACACGCGTGCAACTGGCCGAGAATGTACTACTAGTGGGTGGAACAGCTATGCTTCCTAACCTACAAGCACGCCTCCATCAAGAATGCATTCGTACAGCTGGTGAACATCCACGCTATCGAGTATTGCAGCGACTCGTTGATAAGATGCGATTTCTATCGGGTGGTGAACGAGGTCGTGTCTTTCCCGCTAATTGTCGCACATGGATTGGCGGTAAGTACTTGGGTTGCTATCAACACACTATCACTGATTGATCAATCCACTAATGATACGTGTGTGCATATGCATATGTATGTGTGTTCATGTCAACACATATACAGGCTCACTTGTAGGTGCCATCAAATCGGCTGGTCCAGAGATTACTAAAGAAAAGTTTAACGGACAAGTACCCGACTGGACTAGTTCCACTTATCCATTGACCAACCAACCAACTAATCAACCAGCTAATCAACCAGCTAACCAACTAGCTAGTTAACTAACTAACCAATTAATTAATGTATATCTTGCCTATTCCATAGCAGATTTCTAATAAATTATTAGTATTATTATCGTAAGCAAGTTGATTCTATATATTCTCTTGTATGAAACATGTCTTGATGAAAACTATTCGTGTAAAACTACGCGTGATATTCTGAATGGAAGAGAAAGAAAGGAAATGACGCGAGAAATAAAACTGTGACGGCGTATTAAAATGTGTTTATTTTGATGGTGAATAAAATGCGTGGAGCGTGTCACGCAAGAAACGAAACAGTGTTAACGCGTGCCAATTGTTCTACTCACACCTTTGACAAGAGGCATCCTTCATTGTCTTTCTCGTTTTCTTATTCATATAAATGTAAACAGATATTTATCTATCCATCATTGCTTACTAGTCTAACTGCTTCCTATGCTCATTCCTCTACACATTTTGACCGTATCTTACGTGAACTTGTCTGGCATACTCGCTTTATTTGCTTACAATTACCTGAACTAGTGTTGCTAGTTTATACACATATACCTATTTTCAAGATTACGTTGGCATTAGTAAACCATATCCACCCATAGTCGTTCACGCCTTGTGTGCCGGTTATTGTTGCCGAATATTAAGAAGTGCGGAGACACGCCACGTAAAGAGGCACAGTGGTCAGCTATATTCATTCCGGGTATGGCCACAGATGAGTCTAGGGTAATGGGGCCAACAACGCAAGGGCCAATATTTCAGTCATCAGTCATGTCTAAACAACACGAGAGCGTGTCGGGTCCACCTACCTCAGCGGACATCGCTAAGGTAAGTAGCTATCGGGTTAATAATAATAATAATAAACAGAAACTAATGTGATACGCTTATAGTTATCGCATATCCTACGAGTTCGACTTCGTTTAGCTACCGTGAAGGCAGAACGGGGATGGGAGTATTTGTCGTTAAGTGAAACAGAGCAGAAACTACGCGAGGAAGATGGTGGTAGTGGTAGTAGTGGTGGTGGTGATCCCTCGTCAATACCTAGATCTGACAATGACAGCACGGATACGACATCGGCCGAACTAGCGTCGTCCATCTATTCAGCGTTTAAACGATTGGCTAAAGATGTACAAATGCAAGATGAAGAATGCCAATCTACTGCTGCAAGTGGTGTAGCTAGCAATACAGCAGCACTTGTCACGCTGCCAACATCACCCACCAATCGTACGTGTAGTTTCACCATAGCAAATGAACGACGACGACAGCGACATAAACGACAACAAGTTCATAGACCGTATGAGTATCAACGACCCAAGAGTCCATTAGAAGAAGAGCATTCGCACTATTCGATCTCGCAATTGCAAACACATCGAATGGACATGATGTAGCATTATCACCTACAAGCAATGTTGAACGTAATCTTCATACTAGACGACATTATCAGAGTGACCATCAACATTATAACAGCAATTATCGTAGTAGTAGTAGTAATAGGAAATCAACTGCAGAACATGATACTTCATCGATATCAATACAGAATCAATTGCCTACCATTAGTGGTAGTAGTTTATTGGCCGTGTTAGATGCCGAACGATATGCTACACAAATCAAGACAGAAATGCCACTGGCCAATGCTATGATAACACCTGCTTCCTCTCAAGAGTGTGATATTGCAACTGAAACTACTATGAACAATGACAACAATGACGGTGTTGATAGCAGTAGCAGCAGTACCAGTATTAGTAGTTGTACTAGTAGTACCAGTAGTTGTATCAGTTTAAATAGGAATGGCAGTCTGGCAACAAATCCAAGATAATGGCAGCTAATACTGTCGCGGGTAACTCACTAGGAGGAGTACATCGACCGAAATTCAGTCTAGGTCAGATGCCACTACGAGATATGGAACAATCGGGTGCAACGCCACCTACATCGCCTGATACTGAACAAGCGGCACGTCTTATGATTCTACTGGCGAACTCGCACGATACGGAAAACACCAGCAGTATGGATAGGTGACGATTACGGTCGACAAATTATATACTTTACATGTATCTATTTTATATACACGAGCTTGTAACCAGCTCCTCTTGTGTTCGTTTCCATTGTTCATCGTTGTACTATCCATGCCGTACACTATGTTTTGTGAACAATCTTTAGTTTATTTTAATCTATGTTTACCCAGTTCAATATATATATATATATATTATCATATAAATAACATTATTTAATACCATTTTACATGTTGCCAATAGCAAAAAGAAAGCGAAATACATATTGATTCTTGTTAGTAAAAGTGAATTTAATACGCGCTGCTTGCAAAAAAGCAATTTTGATAGGCCCAGATGGGACTCGAACCCACAACCTTCGCCTTAGGAGGGCGACGCCATATCCATTAGGCTACAGGGCCAGTGCAAGGCTTGTCAATCACAATAAAATTTTTTTAGAATTTTGCATATATATTCTTAAGGTAAAAAAACGCAAAAAGCCAAAAATTTAAATTTTGCCGTTATAAAATAAAAAAAAAAAAAAAAAAAAAAAAAAATTTGCCGTTATAAATGACTGAAGCCATGTTATGTTATGCCAGTACATTGTAGAATAAAGTAGCGGTTCTTACGGTGATGTTTCGCTATGTTTAGGTAATAATTGATGCTAGTACGGTCATAGTGCCCGTAATAAATACTCATCGACTGATGCTGATCAGCGAGATACCGCTTATTTTCATAATATCTGTCAATTATATGCTACTGGAATTACATCATTATAAGATAAATAACCGGGTCTATACTTTACATTATGTGTGTATGTATTCGTTTCTAAGCAGATAATGGTTAATTAATGTGCCATTCGTAATGATGCTAATCTATTTCCAATGTACATATGTCTCGAATACCGTTTATTACGTCGTTTCACACACTTTCTAGTACATCTTGCCATTATGACTGCTAATGAGAATGTGGCACATACTCGCTGATGGTAACACCATTCCTATTTAATTAATTTATCATTAATAAATTAGCAATGATTGTTCCAGAATTAATATAACGTATAAATGTATAAATGATGTCTCCTCCACTCATAGATTTATATTAATGGTGGACCATCGCTACGCATTCATATCCTCGTAACCGCCTACATTCACTACTTGCTAGTACTCCACTGTGCATATCTAACCAACACTTTCAACCTATTAGCATTGCTTTACCATATACCTCACCCCCTCAATTAACGTATACTTTTATCATTTGCATCATTTCCAGTAACGACAACATGTCAGAAAAAGAACAACCACCACCACAACAACAGCAAGGCATGAGTGAGACAGTGCTACTATCCAGCGGAAGAATGACACCACAAGAAAAGCATGATGTAGATGCTACCGATGCACTAGTTGCTGAAAAGGACAATATTGCATTGAGTGACACGGAGAAACCCTTTACATTAACGAGGATGGCGAAGAAGACTCGCCTTACCTGATAGTACGCGCTACCGTCAGCAACAAGGATGATACTACACTGCCCACACTGACCTTTCGCTTCTGGTTAATCTCCATCCCCTTTACCATATTCGTCTCTATTTTTAATCAAATATTCTGGTTTCGTACCTTTAGCATCGGTATATCCGGCATTATCGTACAATTGATCACGCTGCCCATCGGTAGACTGCTTCATCGTAGTTTACCTAGCAGATCGGTAGGCTATGGTCGACTAAGTTTCTCGTTGAATCCAGGTCCATTTAACGCCAAGGAACACGCGTTGATCATTGTGTGCATCAGTGCCGCAACATCGGTAGCTTACGCCGTGACATTATCGTCATCAAGAAAGTGTTCTACATGCAGGACACGCCTATTCTTGGCTCTATCCTGCTTACGCTAACGACACAATGCATCGGCTATGGGCTGGCCGGCATTTGCTACAAATACCTCGTACGACCGGCAGCTATGTTGTGGCCATCGAATCTCGTAATGGTATCGCTATTTCGTACGTTTCACGAGGAGGACACGAATCAACGTGGCAAGACAACGCGTATGCAATTCTTTTTATTGGTAACGCTTGGCAGCGCCATCTACTATTTCTTACCTGGTTACCTAATGACCATGCTATCGAGCATCTCTATCCTATGTCTGGCAATGCCAAATAACAAGCTGGCCAATCAACTGGGCTCGTACACCAAGGGACTTGGCATTCTAAGCTTCTCCCTCGACTGGAACGCCATCCTCAACCCTTTAATGACACCGTTCTGGGCCATTGTCAACACATTCGTGGGATTGCCCTAATGGCATGGTTGATCTGGCCTGTCGGCTATTACAGCAACGTTTGGGATGCACTGGATTACCCGTTCTACGGCTCGAAACTGTACACCGACAAGGGTGAAAGCTATCCATCCCTTAAACTGCTTAATCCAGACTTGTCGCTTAACGAGGAGAAATACATTGCCGTGGGAGCACCGCGAATGACATACATGTTCGCCGTCACCTATGGATTAGGTTTTGCAGGTCTCGCTGCGGTCATCATGCACGTCATCTTGTATTATGGCGGTGAGATCATACAGCGATACCGTGAATCGCGCACTTCCGATGATGACATCCATGCCAATTAATGAGCTACTATCCGGAAGTACCGCAATGGTGGTATTTATTGTCGCTGACGACAAGCATCGGGTTGTCCATCTTCGTTTGCGAGTATTATGGCACCGATCTACCGTGGTGGGGCCTACTATTAGCCGTTGGATTGGCCGCTCTCTTCCTACTACCTATTGGTATTATCACGGCTATCTCTAATCAGACGCCAGGTCTCAATATCATCACAGAATTCGTTATTGGCTTCATTATGCCCGGTAAACCCATCGCCAATGTTACCTTCAAGACATACGGCTATATTGGTATGGTGCAGGCTATCTCCTTCCTCGGCGACTTTAAACTAGGCCACTACATGAAAATTCCACCGCGAGACATGTTTACCGCGCAAGTGGTGGGCACACTGATTGCCGGCACGGTTAACGTCATCACCGCCTATTGGATGTTCGAGCATATGCCTGACGTGTGCACCACACCAGCGTGGTATTGCCGTGGCGCACACGTATTCTTCTCTGCCTCGGTGATCTGGGGTGTCATTGGGCCTAATCGCATGTTCGGCAGCGAAGGCTACTATTCCGCGCTAATGTGGTGCTTCCTAATCGGACTGTTGCTACCCGTTCCCTTTTGGCTAATTACGCGTCGCTATCCCAACAGCTGGGTGAAGTACATCAATATCCCGGTTCTGTTGGCAGGTACCGCGGGTATGCCACCAGGCTATCCAGGCATCTATCCCATGTACATCATACTCGGATTTATCTTCCAATTCTACCTATTCCGATACCGTCAGAAATGGTGGGCACGCTACAACTACATATTGTCGGCGGGTCTAGATGCCGGTGTAGCCATTAGTAGTTTCATTATTTTCTTCGTCTTGACGCAAAACAACATACAACTCGACTGGTGGGGCAACCAGGCAGACTGTCCACTCCTTGAAAACACACTATAACTGCCGTGTGTGCGCTCCACCTCAATTTCTTTCGTTCGCTCTTCTCTTTCATTGTAAGCAACCACACCATCTCATGATGTATTAATTAGGATCATTGAGTAGTGTTCACTATTGCATTGTGTATCATTAATTTTAATTAAGCATACAATCATACCATTCGTTCAGTATAATACAAATAAATTGCTTGTTTAAAATTGCTACACTTTATCATTATAGTGTCTATACCATTGTACAGTTCATGATGTTAGCCAACTTGTATTCTACCTGTAGTTGCATCTTACGGTCAATTGCAACCTTTACCACGTGATCTTAACCTTCTCCTTCACCAATCACTGACCTCCACGGCGGATGCTGAATTTTACTCGCCGGTACTATCCACCTCCTACTACACTTCCCAGACTATTGGCCAATCATCATTGGCGTGGAAACGCGTTCCCCTTTCAATCGAGGAGCTTGTGAAGCGTGAAGCGTGAAGCAGCGGTGCTTCATAAGCGCGCGCTCCGTCATATTCATTCCCTTTAAACCCCCCTTCTTCATCTCTTTTTCCATCTGTTCTCGGTCTACTTTACCATAATCCTAGCTGCTTCCATTGAGCAATATTCATCAACCCAATAAATAGTTGGTAAGTCGACGATAGATGCTATTGCTGCTGCTGGTGGTGGTGGTATAAAACACGATAGTTCCATTTGACTTGAGTGTAGTATCAGCGATAGCACGATACATATTTGCCTAGTATTGGTCCACTAATTTGCACTCTCCTTTGCAATACTTTAGCTTCTGATATAAATTTACAATCCTTTCTATTACTACTTTCTTGATTTGCCAACATGACTGTCGCTTCTGCCAACAACACTGAAGCATCTGCCAGTAACTCGGTTACCGACAAGAAGCGTACGCAGGCTGCCGTTGCAGCGCATCGGCAAGCGGGCTACAAGTGCGTTCAATGCCGTGGTCCTTTGAAATCCGAGAAGACATTGTGTGGTGCATGCCGTGGCGTCTTTTACTGCGGGTAATTATCACTATAATGAATAGCAATCATCATTAGGTACAGCGTGTATTAATCATGACATCCATACATTTATAGTAAACAATGTCAGGAGACTCACTGGCGTTCTAATCACAAAATTGCCTGCGAATTGTACAAGCATATTCTCTCCAAATCCACCACTGAAGGATTACCCTTCACATTCCCACTACGTGTGAAGCCATCAAAGTACGATGAATGGCTTCAGAACCAAGAAGTGCTAAACAAGGGCATATGGCGACGTGAGGCAGAGGGTGCATCCAAGTATGCTTACGGTGAATTGCCCGCAGCGTCTACTCAAGAACTCTGGGTGCTTCCTGAGGCCCAATTACCCGCCCCATTGTGCAAGTCCTTGGCAAAGGGTCAGAAAGAGGCGCCATCCGAGATCATTAAGGACTGGAGCGCTTACTACAACTTCCGCCAACTTCCAGGAGAGTCACCTATCGCGGTGGTACTATCCCTGCCACTTACCTTGTACCACGTCATCACCGAGCTTCTACCGGAAAAGGTCCAAAAGCGCAAGGAATTGCGTATCTACTTGTTGGGAGCTGAGAAGGAGCTTGATCAACTGCCTGTACTAGCGGAACTTGCCTACTTACTTCCAGACACTAAATTCCACATCACATTCATTGGACCTAAAGTGTTGGACGACATGAAGGCCGACGATCCACATCCTAATATTCGTCTAGCTTTCCGTCGTGGCCATTATCATGAGCTATGCCAGCTAGAGGGTGGCAAGCGTTTGCGCCCAGGAGACTTGGTACTAGCACCAGATGCCTCATTGGAGACAGATGCCAACTGGCGTCCTACCGTCCACTTGCTCGTGCAACAGGGCGTACCCTCCTTCTTTACCGATCGATGCGA